AACTTGGTTGTCTGCCGATTTTTACCGCCACTCACACACAGACCGTCTGATACACGCCCATACATGCACGAGAGAAGGGGAAGAGGAGACAGAGTCCAAACTGCACACAGATCAGAGTACACAACGGAATTCAACCATGCAAAGATGGGGAGAAGAGCTCAGAAGACACGCAGTGTTTCTCACTCTCGGACAAACTCCCGAGTCCCAACAAGTTAACAACCAATCACAAGAAGAACCTGTGAGGATGACAATTGAAATCACACAGATGATGCGCCACTCAACTAAAATATCGTCACAGAGTTTGTTCCAGTATCTTGCCACTCCCAGAACTCACACCCCACTCTCTATCCTACACCCAGTTAGTAGCCCCACATCAGAACAGCCTCCCTGAGGCTAGCGCCAACCACCATGATGAAGAACGAATCTTGCGATGAAGTCTTCAGTGTCGATCGACAACGCAGACGAAGTGCCAGGCAGCTATGGCTGCCACCACCCACGGACACACGGTGTAGAGCCTCGATATAACCCGGGCATACGGAGATACCGAAGGGCCTAACCTATTAATAGACTGCAGTCTACAGTCACTACAGGCTACAGCTACTCTAGCGTACACATAGACCGGACTGACTTACTGGTAAAACCCAACGCCACCTGGTAAAACCCAACGCCACCTGAATAGTGAACCCTTGTCGCCACCTGCACCCCGCTGCAAAGGCCTGTATGCAAAAATCACAGATTGAGCTTGCACCTGCCGATCAATAGGCGGTCACAGACCTGCATCCTACTACGAGGGCTCAGATCGGTAATGATACAGTTTGGTTATGACAGACTGAGCCTACGCCTGTCGATCAATAGGTGGTATAGCCTGTATAGGGTCCGATGGCGTCCCTTGCCCATGCGGGCCGAGTCCTGTCCTCTGCCTGACGCGTCGACCTCCACCATCATCTCCATCCGCCGCCGGGCGCCGGGGCACGTAATCGGAGTCACTTGGATCGTCGGCGCCTGTGGTCTCGCCAACCTCCGCGGCCGTGGAGCTGTCATCATGGTAGATCACCACATCGCCTCGTCTCTTCTCGACTCGCCCTGAACGGTATTGGACTGTCCCCCCGTCCGCCACTGCCCCGCCAGTCGCCGGAATCTGTGTGGTCGGAGCTCTGGCGTGAAAAGTCGGTGGTGGACGATGGCGGTGATATGGAATCCATGCACCTGTCCCCTTCTTCCTCGCCCGGGATAACCTCGCGGTCGTCGTCCTCGTGTCGTGGACATCCGTTGTCTTGGCCCGCAAAGGCCTCCCATGTCACTCCTCGTATGCTCTCATGGAGCCGTGACAACCACCATTGACGCGGCCTATGGATCGCATCCCCGCACGCACATCTGTCAGTCCGCATGCTGATGCATGTCCCTCATCGCCTGCCCTCCGGTCCCTGGTCACGCCGTCGTAGAACGACACCGTCGGGAATGCGGTGCTCGCCGCCACACCGTGGACGACAGGGTCTGTGCCATGGGGGTGCGGAGGCGCGTGACCCCTATGCTCACCTTCGACACTACGTGCGATGGCCCCCTCAGCGACAGGCTGTGCGGCCGATGACCCTCTATGCTCATAGTGCGACCCTGTACTGCGAGCAGGCACGCTACCATCTGTGGTCAATGTCCGTGCCAGACTGCGTTGCGCTGCGACGCGCACGGTACCATCCCTGCGCATTTCCTCGTCCACGTCGGCGGCAACAACGTCGGGAGCCGTCTCCTGCATCGAACGTGGCGGGTCTGGGTGTGGGTCTTCCTGAGAGACTGCCGGGAATGATGACCCATCGCGTGCGGAATCCTGTGCACAATGACCCTCCTGCGCCGCATACTCTGCATCCAATCTCTCAAATGAATCTCCCAAACTGCGTTGCGCCGCGACGCGAGGACCGCCACGGCGGTTCCGTGCCACCTGTTGCGCCAAACCCTGGTCCACCGCGTGCGGTGCCCCAACATGAAAAACGGCCGGAGTGGCGGAGACTGTGGGATGCAATATCGTGTCGCCAGCGAACTCGTCGAATCCTCTATGCACTCCATCCGCGTCATCCGCTCGACCAGTCGCTGGTGGTGCCACAAATGCCAAAGTGGGAGAAATCAAAGTCGATACATCAGGAAGATCAAACAACGCCGAGTCCATGGCGGGCAACTCCGCAGTGGGCGGAAGACTGTCAGCGGGGCAGGCGAGGCCAACGTGGTTGACCGTGGCAGGATGTGCAACCTCTCCCTCATGGGCACAACTGGGAGTACGTGCAACCTCTCCGTCCTCCAAACCAGTGTCAACCGTGGGAGGATGTGCTACCTCTCTGTCCTCCAATCCAACGTCAGTCGTGGGAGGATGTGCTACCTCACCTATGGAGGGGACCACAACGCTGGGTGCCCCGTCAGCGCCCGCGCAGACGACGGTGGAAGGAGGTGGCACATTCCCTGCACCGTCGGGAATTGTCTGCCCATCACTGGCTGCCCCTCCTCGAGCTTCCGCGTGAACCGCGACCGTGGGTTGTGTCAGATGGCGAAGGGACTTCTGTGCGACCGCAGTATCCGCAATGGGCGCCGCAAGCTCGGGACAAGTCAACCCTGCTCCACTCTCCTCCTACGCTGAAATCGCCGCTGCAGACTTGGTCGGGCCCTCGACGAAACCGGGTTGATGCTCAACGGAGTCAGCACCCCTCACGTCGGAAGTCTGAGGAATGAAGTCCTTGTCCGATGTGTCGCCCAGGGAGTCCCCAGACTTCTCAGACACGAGAACCTGCTCGTGCTGCGCAACACGTGCGTCCGTGGCGGTCGCATCGTGAAGAGTCTTAAGACGCCACCTGCGCACACTAGAGCCGATGCTGTTATCCTGCCTGGGACCGTGTCTCAACCGCTTCAAGAAAAACCCATGACCACGCACAGGAAAGTCACCCTCACACCCCTCAACTCTGTCGTCACCTCCCGCGTCGTCGCCACCTCCTCTGTGACCTCTGTCGTCACCTCCCTCATCGCCGCCATCTCCTCCGGTACCTCCTCCGACACCTCCGTCGTCGCCTCCGCCACCTCCTCCGCCACTTCCGCCGCCACCTCCTCCGCCACCTCCTCCGCCACCTCCTCCGCCACCTCCTCTGGCACCTCTGTCGTCGCCTCCGCCACCTCTGTCATCGCCTCCGCCACCTCCTCCGCCACCTCCTCCGCCACCTCCTCCAGCACCTCTGTCGTCGCCTCCGCCACCTCTGTCATCGCCTCCGCCACCTCCTCTGCCACCTCCTCCGCCGCCACCACCTCCTCCGCCACCTCCTCCGCCACCTCCTCCGCGACCTCCTCCGCCACCACCTCCGCCATCACCTCTGTCGTCGCCGTCGCCTCTCTCATCGTCCGTAGGCGTGGACGTGCCCAATGCAAATAAATCCTCGTCGTCGCTAGATGAGCTGTCGAACAAGAAGTCTCCCTCGTCCCAATGCTGGCGGGCCTTGCGGATGAAACCGTTCGCCCGCTGTCGACGTGTCCCAGATGCAGCAGTCCTGCTACCACGCCTCGTCCCGCCAACACCTGCTCGCCCACGCCCGCCACGTCCACCTGCCTCGCCCCTGCGTCGCCTCCTGTCGGACTCCGCCACCAGACGCATGGCTACCATGCGGGAAACGATGAGCATCCTCTCTCTGGCGTGAGCCAACTCCTCCTCGGTCACCCTCGCCAGTGCACCACTACCTCTGACAAGCTGCTGGTCCACTACCACCTCCTCCTCCACAGCCTGCTAGTAATGCACCCAATTCCCGAAAAAATCGGGTCTGTCATCAGGAGCATCGTCACACAATGACGGTCTATCAATGAGCATGAGGTTCCAGTGGCACCGCACGAGCTTCTCGGCCCGAACAACCTCCAACCTGTTGCGTGACTTCGAATGAATGAAGCTCCATGGATACCATGCTCTTTCGCATGGTGATGCAGTCGCCCAAATGCGAAGGATCCGACCGGCAAAGAACGCCGTGTGAGGGTACTTCGCACTCTTCGCAGACCAAAAACTGGCAGGGTGGTTGTAGCATGCCAACGATCGCCGCATGTTGACATCATCGAAAGGAGGCTCCTTTGTGTGGAACTTGAATACCACCTTAAGGACCTCCTCGTGTTGCGCCGATCCCTCTGGATAGCTGAGTTGGACCAGGGCTTCGATCAATCCCTGCTGCACCTTCTGGTCGTCGTTCAACGTCGGGTCTCGGAACTCGAGATCCAACAACATGGCTGCTGTGTGGGCGGGTGTTCGGAACATAGTGCGCCGCCTGTCGAACACCTCCAAAATAGCGTCCTGCTGCTCCCGATCGAGGTCGCGGCACGCAGACAAGCAAGATGCGATCATAATCTCGTAACGACGTAAAATCTTGCTTATCTGGCGTGTGTCACTATCGACTAGCCTCAACATATCCATGACAGGCTCCAGCATCTTGCACAAAGCTCTCAAATCCTCCCACCATGGAGGAGACCCGATACACGCAGTGACCTTTGCGGCGTCCTTGCGGATCTTGCTGGTCGACCAGACAGTCTCACGCCACCGGTCGTCGCCAACAAGCTGCGTGAGCTCTCCCCGCAGGTCCACAAGCCTCGTCATCATGATGGCGTTAGTGCAGAATTGAGTCTCCGCCGGCAGTAGAAGGGTCTTCGTCGAGAATTACGAGGAGTTTCTTTCATATGTCAAGGGCTGGTAAGGTTTTGCGCGTTGTATCGAATTTAACCACATGCTCCACCGCTTGTGCAGGCCCCCGTCAATTCTCCAAAACCTCCCGTGCGTGGCCATGGCGCTTGAAAAACCTCGTTACCAATCAATCCCGCCGATGTCCTCGAGAATGAGGTCCATCACATGAGCGACGCATGGAATCCAGAAGATGTGTTTGACGCTCTCGTCCTTCTGGGAAACCTCCATCGCTGCGACGTTCACCCCGGCGGAGTCCGTCACGAACGCTGTGATGTCGCTCAAGTCCATCTCCATGGATTTCACTCTCTTCAGCCACGCGGTCGCAAGGGCAGTGACGTCCTTCTTCCCGTGCATGACGTCGGTGGCCACATAAGTTGCCCCCAAATTTGTCCCGACAAGGTAGTTGCACAATGTCTGACCCCTAATGTTGGTCCAACCGTCGGTCATGATTGTGCAACCAAACTCTCTCGCCGTGTCTAGAAGTGGCCAAACACACTTTTGGACCTCTGCATCCAGCTCATCCAAAAGGGATGTGCGCACCATGTGGTACGTGGGTACTTTGGGCGTGGGCGCCCCTGGAACCCCCGGCGGGATGATCATCGCGAACACGCGTTTGAAGCTTTCAAGCTTAACGCAGTTGAACGCGATCCCACTCTCGACGATGAAGCGCATGATCTGGAAATGCCACGCGTGCTCCAAAGGGTCCGAATAATACGACGTGACGGCCTGTTGGCGAAAGGTGCCCCGACCACGTCCCGTCGTGGCTCGCCCGCCAAGGATCCCGACATCCAACAACCCACCAGGACTCTCAAGTGCCGCGCTCTGGGCCACTGCAATGTCGCGCATGCGGTACAAAGGATCCAATGAACCGGTAAGTACAGGTGGAGCAGCTGCAGCAGCACCTGTCGTCGGTGGAAGCGGGGTTGGTGACGAATCAGACACCGGAATGGGGACCTCAGAAGCACCCAGCCCGGGCGTTGCCTGTTCCCCAACTAGGGAAGCAGGTTGTCGAGCATCTGCAGCCACGCGCGAAGGCTCCCGTCTGCCCGTCGTAGCAATGTGGTCGGCGGCCACAACCTGTGCCACTCGTGACGGTGGAGGCGGCAACCAAGGGTGGTCCGATGGATCGCGATCGGTTGTGGCCGGGGCCGCAATACTGGTAGCCCGTGCAGCATGTGGTTGTCTGCCACTGTTAAAAATAGGGGCAAGTGTGCGTGGGGCCGCAATAGTGGTAGCGCGAAGTGCCAACACCACGCCCCCACGTGCGGCTCTCGACAAAAGCACGTGTGCCGTGTTCGTTGAACGTCGCATAGCCCCCACCCTCTTGAACAAGAGGGGCCTCATCGGCCGGCACGGACCGACCGACGTGTAAACCACCTGCACCCTGTGTCCCTGTAAGCGGTGCAGACGCTGTAGCTGGTGGACGTGGTGGCGTTCGACGCGGCACTGTGACTCGAACGACTGGACTGGACAAAGGCACCGTCTCCGAGGGGGCAGTGGCGGAATCGAGGGGCGGCACTGAGTCCTCGGGGTATCGTAGCGGTGGCCACTGAAAGTTTGGATGACCGTGAGATAAGCTATGCAATGCCTCAATAGCCGATACGAACTCCTTCGGACATTTTGTCATGTCCTTTGACCAGATGGCATACCACACTGCAGGTGTGGGCACCTCACATCAGAAGTTCTCGCTCTTTGAGAAGTGTTCCTTGGCGGCCTTAGCGCCCCGCACATCGAACGGCCGCACAACCTGCACATGCAGCGACGACCACTCTCTCTACCCGCCGCAGTGGACCCATCCAAATAACGACCTCGTGCGATGAAATGCCAGACGGGGTCGTCTCTCTTGCCGTCGGTTGTCGGATCAACCTTGAACGGCGAGTCGAAACTCTTCGTGTTGTGACCTTGTCTGGCGGTATTGGACGAGTCCGCCGGATCCTTACCATTCTGGCGTGGCATGCTGAAACGTCGGCACTACAAAAAGACAGCGTCGTAAACCGGAGAGGAAACAGGTGCAGGAAACAGAATCGGAGAGAGAGCCACAGTAGAATGCAAAGGAACTGCTGAAAATGTAGAATCAGAAACTGCAGAAAGAACCTGGACACCAAAGCAAAAACAAAAATTGACACACAACGCAGAAATACACAACAAAACAACAAGAAAAAGAAATCAACAACCTTCAACAAGTAAAAACAAACAACAGGGACCTATGACAAAGCACAGTCACTACTAAAACACAGGTCGTTGGTTCAAAACACACCGCTCAAAGACTGAATGACTACTGAGTTCCCGCCTGCTAAGTCTGTGTGTGTGTGTGCTTGCTGGACTGCATGTCTGTCTGAGTGCTGGTTGGCTTGCGTGCGTGTGACTGTGCCTGTCTGTGTGCTGGTTGGTATGAGTGTGTGTGTGACTGTGTGTGACTGGGGGTTTAAGAGACACACACAGTGTCGCACACACACACACACACACACACACACGCACACACACACACACACACACACACACACACAGAGAGAGAGAGAG